CGTAGCCTTTTGGTAGTCGGAAAATAAACAAGTAAACCTAAAGGAACTTCGGAGTCTGAATTATTACCTACAATCTACAATTACAATCGGGATTGTCGTCAACGACGAGAAAAACCCAACATCTTTTTGGTCCTTCGAGCCGTCGAGATCAACGACATCATCAATAGAAATCGTCGTGTCTCCTCAGGTTTGGTGCTTAGCTTAGCTTATCCCAGTTACGTAAGCAAATCGGTGCTTCTGGCCTCCCACCAGCGGGTCTCACCAGAAGCATTGAGACGTTGCACATTACGTAAAGGAGGGAGAGTTATACTGAGTACCAGCCTGAAACGTACCAGCAGGGATAACGTCTACTGCTACAGAAAATCAGTGAACAAGAAGTAATCCGCAGAATAACGTCTGCGGAAATTACAACAACACTAGCGGACATAACGTGTACTGCTACGCCATCCGAATCATTGAAACAACTAAGAAGTGCGTGCTTATAATAAGCATAATAAGCACCTCTAACAATGTCGAAAGAAGACTTCCAAGAGTTTGTTGCCCTCATATCCAGGCAGCAAACAAGCTACGAAAAAATCAAAACTCTGCAAACTAACTATAAAAAGGATTCTGTGAGTAGAAAGTCCATAGATTACCTCAACAAGCGAATAGAAGCTCTGCAAGCCCTTTGGGACGAGTTTCGTTCCAACCACGAAATACTAAAGAAGTACGAGTCCATCAACAGAGACCATGATTACTTCAAACAAAACATCTTTGAAATAACGAAAAGCATGTTCAACGAAACCATACAATCTATGAATCAGCTGCGAAAAACATTGAACACCGAACCAGAATTTTCGAGTACGTCAAACCCGAAAACTCCAGAAATAGAAGTGACAACACATTTTGACACTTCTGGATTACACGAACATATCAAAAACGATGTGCCTGACAAGCATCTAACAACACTGTTACGTAACCAAATGTGTAACTTTAATGCTTTAGAGCGAGCGGTTTCCAAAACCAACTTGGATAACTTAAAAGAGAAGTGGCAACTACAAGATCACCTTAACATACTCCAGTCGAAGTGGGAAGCGATAGATAAAATCCACTGGGAAATAAGTTATCTCCTGCAAGGGAACGACCAAGATTATGAAGATAAGTACGACCACTGGGAAGCAATCTACGATCTCCTAAAGGAAGACTTAAACAAAAAAATATTTGAAACATCGCACTATGAAAAAACAACACCACGTATGGAATTGCCGGAGTTTAATGGAAACTTCAATAACTGGATCTCTTTTAGAGACTTATTCATTGAGATGATTCACAATAATCCAACGCTAAACAAAACGCAGAAAATGAAGTTCCTTAAATCTAAATTAAGAGGTGAAGCAGAAAAGTTGATCAAACATCTCCCTGTAAGCGCCGAGAATTACGATTCGTGCTTGGATATCATCAAGCATCGATATGATAATAAACGGCTACTTTTTATCTCATATATTGACACCTTTCTCAACCAATCATCAATTGATCAACCAAACTCAAATAACTTAAAGAAGCTATATGACACCACTAAAGAATGTCTAAATGGTTTAGAAAACATTAACGTCGATATTCCTGTATGGGGTCCACTTCTAGTATATTTATTGTCTTCAAAACTGGATGACGTCACACATAGTGACTACTTAAAAGCCATGAAGCATCCAAGGGAACTTCCAGATTTAGAAGAATTTATGGAATTTCTGGAATCGCAATTCATGACGCTAGAAACATCTCGGACAAAAAAGAGCAGCGGAAAAAATAATTATTCAACTAATAATAACCAATATAAAAGTTATAACAATAATAAGTCAATGAACTTTAAAGACTCGGAAAAACGGTCAAAGACATACCACACGACGATGTGGAAATGTCCACTTTGCAAAAACAATCATGCACTGAGGCAATGCCCTACATTCCTGAACATGGATGTCGCAACGCGAAATAAAACAACAAAAAATTTGAACATATGCAAAAATTGCTTGTTCAGTCACGGCGGAAACAAATGCAACTCAACGAAAACATGCCGCACGTGTAATATGAAACATAACACACTTCTTCATGATGATAATCTGAGAGGTAGACAATCAAAGCCACCGGCATCTATAGCAGGTGAGCAAACAACTAATCACATTAACGGTGATCAAGAGATACTCCTAACGACTCTACAATTGAAAGTCAAGAATAAAGAAGGAGATTACGTCATCCTTCGGGCATTACTCGATCAAGGTTCCCAAGTCTCCTTGATAACCGAAAATGCAGCACAACGTCTAAACTTACCCCGAAGCAAAATGAACGCATCTGTTTCTGGTATTGGCACAACACGAGGAACGAGTAAAGGAATGATTAAACTAGAATGTAAATCGATACACTCACAGTACACATTCCAAACCGACGCATTAGTTATGAGTAAACTAATCAACAATCTACCTAACTCAAATATCGACACAAAGAACTGGACACACCTTCATAATATTAAGTTGGCTGATCCAGACTTCAACGTTTCAGGACCCATTGATTTATTATTGGGAGCAGATATTTACTCCAATATAATCATCGATGGAGTACTCAAACAAAATAACTACTCGCCAGTAGCGCAACAAACCAAGTTAGGATGGATCCTATGCGGTGCTACTAAGCAATTTAACTGTCTAGTAACTACAACAGAGTTAGACGAAATGACGAGATTCTGGGAATCAGAAGATATTCCCTCGGAACTCGACTCGATATCTAACGACGAACACTGTGAGAAATATTTCACTGAAACAACGCAGCGGCTTAGCAACGGGCGATATGTCGTGAAAATGCCAATGAGCGATAACTATAGAGAAAAGCTTGGCAGCTCTAAACCTCAAGCCATAGCACAATTTCTCCAGTTAGAAAAGAAGATGGTCAGACAAGAACATTTTGCAAAACTATACAAACAATTCATAAGTGACTACATTGAATTAGATCACATGAAACCGGCACTAGAGTCCAATCATCAAATACAAGCCTACCTACCACACCATGGTGTCATAAGAGAGTGTTCAACAACAACGAAACTACGAGCTGTTTTTAACGCTTCAATGAAAACAGACTCGGGCTTCAGCTTAAATGATTTGATGGAGAAGGGGCCTAATCTACAAAAGGATATCCTATCTCTGGTCATTAAATGGCGGAGCTATAAATATGTATTAACGGCAGACATCGAAAAGATGTACCGCCAAATCCTAGTGCACCCAGAACAACAAAGTCTGCAAAAAATTATCTGGAGAGACTCTATAAACGAACCTCTTAGAGAAATGCAGCTGTGCACATTAACCTATGGTACTAAAGCAGCACCATTCATTGCGATGCGGACTCTTAATGTACGAGCCATAATGCTCATACAGCAATTTTATATTGAATGCAAACGTATATAATGCATCGAACTAATAACTTTAATTAATCGTACATAAGTCGTAACAAGGTCGCTATCACGTGCTAATGTGTAGCAATCGGAACTAACATAGAATACGTAATAATACGTAAAGTGCGATTCAGATAACTAAACGTAGCCTTTTGGTAGTCGGAAAATAAACAAGTAAACCTAAAGGAACTTCGGAGTCTGAATTATTACCTACAATCTACAATTACAATCGGGATTGTCGTCAACGACGAGAAAAACCCAACAACATTTTAATAAACTTACGACTAGACAGGTACTAAGCAGTGAATACTGTCAAATATTTGTTACTATTTAAATGTATTTTAATAACAATTAGTATTATTATAAGTAATTAATAAATTAGTAAGTAGTGTTACGCCGTCAAACCATTCTATTACTTGAAAACATTAAACTATTTATTCATTCATTTATTTATCGTCCTTGTAATTAAATTTTACTAAAATAAAATGTGACTATTTTAATTACCTTATTTTCATTTTTTGTTTTATCATATTCATAACGTTAGGTAAATATAAAGCGGAAAAATAATCACAATTTATTTTAAATAAATTAGAATTACAGTATCACTGGTCTCATTTATAATTAACTTATATTTAATTATAATGAAATTTACAACTACGAATGACTCATTGTTTTTACAATTATTAGGCGCAAAAATCTAAAAATCTAATCCAAGTCAAAAGTATTACCATAACATTCATAAACCATCAACATATTATTATATCTATTACAATTATAAATAGAATCATTTTAAAATTTATTTCGAGTTCTGAATACGAAAATAAAATTGTACAAAATTAAAAAGGCCAACTTTTAATTTGACGCAAACATTGAAATAAAAAACAGAAAAGTTCAATTAATTTGTAGTATTTTTTATTTTATTTTTACTTACGTAAGCCGATATTTATTTACAAAAACTTCAAAAGGGATGACAGAGTTGTCTTCAACTGTTGTTATCTCCATTCCCTTTCTAAAAATATAATCCATTTCTCCCTTATTTGAAGTTGTATAAATTGATTGACAAATTCCATTTGGTAATGCAAACAAAGGAAGCAAACAAAAAAGGGACTTATGTCCCTTTAAATAAGATGCTTCTAAGACAAAATTGGACATCCCCATGGATTTAAAACAAGGGGGGTTAAGATGAAAGGAGAAATCCCCATGCATCAGTAGTTAAGTGGATTTCTATGTTTATAATGTCGAGTTGCTATCTTACTTTGTACATTTTTTCATTTTAATGTAATAATGAAAATAGAATTTACAAATCCAATTTATATTTTTTAATGAATATAGATTTAGATTTGTATTGCGTCAATAAATGTTAGATAATATACTTTTGTGAACGAATTGAAAATTTAATATCACGCCTTTTATCCCCGAAGGGGTAGGCAGAGGTGCACATTATGCCACTGTACAATGTAACACCCACTTTTCACTATTTATGTTATGAGTCCCATGTAATAGGGGGTGAGCCTATTGCCATATACCGGGCACAATTCCAGACTCAGTGCTACTACTGAGAATTTTTAAAAACCCAGTAATACTTTGCCCGACCCGAGAATCGAACCCAAGACCCCTTGCCCGGCAATCGCACTTACGAGTTACGACCACTCGGTCAAAGAGGCAATTAAAAATTTCCTGTCAAAAATCGATAGAAACCAGTTGAAATTACAATTCATACAATTTTGCTGAACTCATCTGCACAAAATACTAATTTATCATTTAAATCTAAATTTATTTACAAATTGACACATCACACCAATTAATTCTGTAATTACAACAAAGTTCTTTAAATCTGTGCTAATTGGACATACATTTAGTTTAAAACAAAATAATTGACAAACACTGCTACCATTAATTGAAGTCTAACGATTTTGAATTTTATTTCTTTGTAATAAAACTACTATTCTAGTAGCTACAAAATTTAAAACAAAATCACTTCAAAGCAAGTTGATGCAATAACGTTTTACAACGTTTTTTTAACAAAGTTGAAATATTTCCAATTTCTTTTCAGTTCTAGCCAGTTAACTTTCTGTTATGTCAAACAATTCTTAACATATGTGTTTAATCTCCAGTCCAAAACGTAAAACCATTTCTCGCAATTTTCGACTAATATAATCGTTTAAAATGTGTTAAACCACAATTCAATTTCTTTACTTTCGGAAAACTTAACTTAACTAATTCATATCAGACACTGAGCTAAAATTTCGAACATTTTCTCAAGCACACGACAAAATATCTACAAAACAAATTGCTAGAATTTGAACGCAAATGAGATTCTAACCTCAAACAATATTAGACTACATCTAGATCTAAAATGAGGTTCACACATTCATTGGTACCTACTACTTAATTTCTTATGCGTCCTAAATAATCGCTTCGCCGTCCCATACATTACTGAGTCGTCCCAGAAATTACTTGAGTGTCCCAAAAATTATTTGAGCGTCCCAAAAATTACTAGACCGTCCCAAATAATTGCTTAAGCGTCCCAAAAATTACTGAGTCATCTTAAAAATTACTTGATCGTCCTAAATGACAGCTTAGGCGTCCCAAAACATTTTGTAGGCCTGCCTATAGTTTCTTAGGCGTCCCAGCTATAGTAATTCACTTCACTAAAGAGTTTATCACCACGTAAGCTCTCGCTTACACTGCCACGGGCTAGGGGACCACTACGTGGGGCTCGCTGGACAGCAGCCGGCGGACGGACTGGTGGTTGTTGCCGTCACTGCTCGAGATGTCACTCGTGCTGACCACGGCTGGCTGGGAAAAGTTCTTGCAAAGAACCAGGACCTAGAAAAGAAAGAAAGGTTGTAGTGTGATTTCTTGTTCTTCTTACGTCTTATTCAGGTTGAGCATCATTGTTATCGTTGGTCAAGTGGTCTGGGAAAACGACACCAATCTTTGATTTTAAAGTACCTAATTGTGGTTTTGTGTTGTAATCGGGTGTGATTCCTTAAGTTTCATATTTGATATTGTAAGGACATGAGAATTAAGGTAAAGGTAGTTCTGCCAAATAGAAATATGGAATATGATGCAATTTGCGTGTTCCAACCAATAGTACATTTGGTCACTTTTAATACGCATAGAACCAGATGTAACAGTTAGTTATGAACCAACTAATAAAGCAGTTGTCAGAAATACAACTATAGCTTTACATATAAAGCTATAGTTAACAAATAATGGCACCAAGTTAATTAAAATAAAGTGCAGCACATGTAATGTAAACATGGCGACTAGAGATAACATCTCGTTGCAATAAAACAATTTCATCATGGTCGCACCTCCTCGCATTAACATAAACAATAATGAGGTTTACTACATGCTAGATAATAAATCTCAAACAAGAATGGAATAAAATACAACTGCTGATGACAACACTATTTGATTAAAGGCTTTACAATGCAAAATGTTGAAAGACATTTTAGACAAATTTTATTTTAAAGTTACTAGCTTTCGGGAGACAAAAAGACTGCACGGGCAACGTGTCGCGGATTCGATTCCCGCACGGAACAACTCTTTGTGTGATCTACAGATTGTTGTACCAGGTCTGGGTGTCATGTGTATATAAACTTGTATGTTTGTAAACGTATCCAAGATACCGGAGAAAATCCTAGTGTGGGGCAACGGTTTTTTAAAAATGAAATGTATATGTTGACGTATCTTTTTGCTTTCTTTAAACAATAACATCTTAGATGACCATAGGAGAAGAACATCCTCTTAGACTAACATTTCATTAGCGACCAAAGATTGTGTAAACGAACTTTATGATATTGAAGCCAGTTTTATTTTTGATTAAAAATTAGACAAGTATTTTGAACGCCATATTCAGTAAGTCGATATCCTCATAAAATATGGTGTGCTCCATTGCGATTATGGACAAAACAATGTTTGCAACTTAAACAACAATTTTAATTAAAGGTGTGGTGTTTCGTATGCATTTTAAAGGTAATTCTTGTCCTAATATGGGAAGCTAGTAATGTCATAGATTAGGGATTGGTCTCTCATTATCGCTGTATGTAGACATTCCATACAAGTGTTTTGTTAGTTTAATGTTTAAGGTCAATTAAAAATAATCGGAACCAAGAGATCTACGGAGTGATTTTGGACATTGTCTCGAGCTAGAAGCATATGTTCATTGAAAACTTTTAGTTTAAATTTATGGCAAAAGCCCCGATGACAATCGGGGCTATACCCGATGATGCCCGAAAAATAGACGTTCGGTGAATCTAACGTTATTTTTCTCTTTTACTTAATTTCCTTTTGGCTATTATACAGAAGAAAGCTATAGATACCTAATCTTTCTTGTCCTTTAATTACTTAAATATTTTTTAGCTTATAATAGGCACTTTGTCACTTACCGTGTACAATACACTGAGCACCCCCATGGCTCCGCCGACCAGTACGTCCCACCAATGATGCCGATGGTCGCTGAGCCGGCTCAGCGAGCACACAGCGGCGTACACAATGCAGAGGACTTGCAGCAGAGGCACAAGCAGTACAGAGCGGTTGTGCCAGCTGAACGCTCGCCTTTGGAGGTACCACTGTGAATGGATATTTTATTAGTTGATGTTTGAAAAAAATCTTAGTTTGATTATTAATAAGTATAATAACACAAAGTCTAAAGCGTTCATTTCAACACATATTCAGACCAATGGAAGAGTACTTCTTTAATAATAAATCGGTTTGTTCAATACCGAATTCTTATAACCTAGTTTCCTAATTTCCACATATGTAGAACCTACAAAATGTATTGTTAACAATAAAATACTTACAGCTAAAAACAGCCCGCAGTAGATCGAGAGCGACGCGTGTGCAGATGGGAAGCTGCGGCTGCTGTCGATCTGTAGGTAGCGGGAGTACTTCGTTGAAGTGCAGCGGTAGTCACTCACAAACTCTGAACTATTGGTGAAAAGATGTTTTATTGTAGAGAGGTATAAAATAGGATAAAACTATATAACAAATAGGTGGTTTCTTTGAAATCAATGAAAATCGTATAGTGGAACCAATGAAAATTTCGGGTTGTAAATTACCCATAGCAAAAAGTTCCTATCGGCTAATTAATCCAAAAATATAATTCACGATCAAGACCTTCAAAGATTTCATGCTTTTCAGAAAAAGTTAAGGAGACTGGGCAATGTCAAATATGAGTCCCCATTTTAACTTGAAACATAACCAAAATAAAATTGACATAAGCATTTACTTACTCATTGCAAGTGCTAGCCTTATCAGGCTGGCAGAGATCGAAGAACGTGGGTCTGGGAGACCCGACCACACACTTGACGACCTCCAATATGGTCAGATTGACCACAGATCCATAGATATAGTCCCTGTAGAGGAACGCAGCTGTCTTCGCACTGGTGAGGAACTTGCTCTTCTTCAAGTTATACTCGTCTTCGCGTTGAAGAGTTGTTTCGACTGCCCAGAGCTGGAAAGAGGAGAGTGGTTGAAAAGGATTCTGTGGTATAATTTTTTTAATTTTTGGAAGATGTTTAACCTCTGATATGTCTGAGCGTAGATCTGCGCGAGACACAATGCGTTTTCTATTGTATTTTAAATACCGACATACAAGAGGTAAAGCACATTTATTGCATTTAAGTTCAGAATGTAAATTAGATTATAGGCAAGTCTTTACGCTTTGGGAAAATGAAAATGTAATTATTGATGCCCATTTCTTTTTCGTGTGAGAAGAGGCTTTTGTCTAGCAGTGTGTCAAATAAAAGATGATAATGATACTAATGTCTTTTTTATGGCAAGATTTTAACTAAATTGTTTTGAAACAAAGTTCTGGTTCTTTTTAACACTTACAGGTATGTATAAAAACGTCGTAAGTTTTAAGATCTTTCTGGAATGTAACAACACTATGCACGTCACATAGACCTATTTCACAATAAGGATCCGTCTCTTAATGGACATTGGACACTTACTGACGGACATTCAAATAAGTAATAATGGACAAGTTGCCAACTGAATAGCCATCATCATCATCATGGAACAATCATTGTTTCGTTGCAAAAATAGGCATTTTGCTTTGCGTCATACAACAAAAGCATCGGCAAATGAAGACAAGTTTAAGTAATTTCAAAAATATGTTTTTGATGACTTCATTTATTTAATGATTGTGCTTAAGTGACAGCTTTGGAGCTAGAAATAGCTTTGATTACTAGATCAAGCATTTTCATGAACAATGTTAGTGCGGTAACAACACGGTTATTGCGGTGGCTGGGCAACCAGCTGCCACGCAACGTATCGCGCGGGTACGATTCCAGCACGGAGCAACTCTTTGTGTGATCTATAAGTTATTGTTCTGGGTCTGAATATGTATGTACATGTGTATGTACAGGACAAAATCGTAGTCGTATCATCGTTTTTTTTAAATTCAGAAAAAAAAGGATTTAATTAAAATTTGTTGACAAAAAGATTTAGATTTGAAATTGATTGAACAAAAAGACTGAGAGTCGTCCTCATAACATGGAACTTATTACACAGGTGAAAATTGTAAACGTTACATTCTATATCTGTATACTGTAGGAAATTTAAAAAGCTTTCTCCAATCTGTAACATATCACATTTACATTACATCTGTACATTTTCATAAAACTGTACCTTAATGTATGCATACCGAGCGCCACCTGTGTATACACGGTAACACAACAAGCTATGCGAAACTAATATAAACAGACCATCGAATGCGCGGAAAGATCGAACAAAGCGAGGTCAAAATAAACTGGTTGTGTACAACACGATATATGTACATAATGAATGTATAGTAACTATATGACAATAGTTTCCATTTTATGCGCACTATGTCATTCTATGTATGCCCTGCTCTTGTCATACTGATGAGAAATGGTTCAGAACAATTGAATTTCTAATTTGAAATTCGCTCAAGTTTTCTTGTTACATTTTACTGTTCTTACTGCTAGGAGAAATTTTAGTCTTTACTCATTTCCATTTTGAATCTGGTTTTCTTAACATTTATTTTAATGATCTGGCGTTTAGGGCGTTACCACTATCGCCAATTTTTGTCCATCTTTGGAGACTTAAAGGTCTTGAGCGACAAAGTCACTCTTACTTTTCTCTCACAGCTATTCTTGCATCTTAATTATAGTATTTTACATGAAGACGAAGTTTATCATCATTGTCACTAAAAAGTTTTAATTGTCAACCCTATTTCATACTTATTTAAGTATTATTTTCAGTTGTATGTATTTCATGTGCGGACGATGTTACTAGTAGGTACCATAAATCATAATATTAAATACTTACAACTAAATAAGGTACGATGACTGTGATGGCAGCCACCAGTGATATGGAGAAGGTGTCTCCCGTATGAGGATATGACAGAGCTGGGTCGTTGCAGGTGAAGCCAGCTCGTCTGCTCGGCAGCGCTCCCACTTCCAGCAGGATACATACTGCTGCCACTGTTGAAGAAGAAAATTTGATGGTTAGAATATTTTGATGCATAGTAAAAATATTAAGTACACAAATTTAACATAAAACATAATAAGATATTGAAATTGAAATGATTTTGTGTTGACGAGTTAATCTGTGCATAGTTTAAGTTCGATAACGAGGTATTACAAAGATCTTAACTAAGAGATTAGAGCATAGACATTATTAATGAGTGCTATACAAGCGCCATGTATCGCAGTTTGTAGAGTAATTAAAATCGTATGTAACACTACCAACTGAAATCGAATTGGACGAAAGCCAAATGTTTAACTTTGAGCCACTAAAATTGTGCAACCTCGTAATACATAGTACTTTATCTAGGAATGATTAACAGCTTCTTATCGTCCTGGAACATTAATAATAATCTAATGGCTAGTTACAGTCACTGCAGTGTTACTTAAAAGGTTACCAACCTGTAATTATTTTTGAATTATTACATTTCTTGCATCAATGGGTTGCACAAAATGGCTGTGGGTAATGGGTTACTAGCACGATATAGTACAACTCATAGGAAAATCATTATCTAGATTCTAGAATATCACTATTACACAAAATATTGTTGAGTAAAATTGAGAATACAACAATTAATTTGTTCCGAAGCAATTCACTTCTGTAATCATCAATTAGAATTTTAGCACCATGCTTCAAGTGATATTTTGGGAGCCATTAATGTCAATCATTCCGATTAGGCATAAAAAACAATCAGTAATTTATAGGAAGTCGGTTTGTTTAGACCCAATGACAATATTTTCGCCTACAATAACAATCTTTCCATTACTGTAGGTACATAATTTCTATCGCGGTTGACTGCTCCACCAAACTCGTGAATGGTGTCTATCATCTTCCACTTCAATGATTATTACAGCTTACCATCTTTCTGAAGGTGTCGTGATGACCCGGAGGTCTAAGACGCCCACTTCTCATGCATGAGGGTGCGGGTTCCAAACCTCAACCAATGTGACTTTTTCCGAGTTATATGCACTTTCTAAGATTATTCAGACACCACTGACAAACGGTGAAGAAAAACATCGTGAGGTAACCTGGTCATATAATTTCAAATTATAAGTTTGAAATCACCAACCCGCATTGAGCAAGCGTGATGATTAATGCTCAAACCTTCTCCGTGTGAGAAGAGACTTTGCTCAGCAGTGGGCATTTATAGGCTGTTGATGAACCATCTTCCACTCTGATGTATCTTTTATAATTTTATTATTACCTATACTATTTGCGTTGACTAGAAATCTGTGTAGGCAGGCGCTAAGGGCCATAGGTCAAGTAATTCAATACTCAACTTTTACCGGAAACTCATTAGCTTTGGACAAATCGCTGCAGTTTGTGCGACACGACCGACATTTACCTACGTTAGCAATGAGCGATGTGACTACTTCTTGTGTTGTAAACTATCTATTGGTTATTGTCAGAAGATTGTCAGTTTGTTAAGCTGGTCTTGTAATTTGATGTTTTTATTCTGATTTTGGATAATTTCCTTGAGAAATATTTATTGAAAGCGACTTTAAAAATGCATATTTTTCTTATCTTTGACTAAATATTCATTTCTTTGAAAAAAGAAATCGACTTTAATCGCGTAATTATCATTCATGCATTGTTACTACGTTCTACGTTAAGTTTGGTCTATACATTGTACACGACAAATACCTAAGTCGCTAACTCGTCGTGGTTTACGTAAGGTATGTATACGAATTCCGAAGAAGTTATTTCAAGTAAAGCTTGTTTAGTCTTTTTACTTGAAACTTGTTCCACAACAACATACCATCACCTATCAAAAGCATCACATAATTCAAAAACTACCAGTTATGCGGCCATCCCAAACAGGTGTGTCTATACAATTGCCGGCCCTAACACTTTCTAGCCAGGTCTTGCAGGCAGACTGTAATTATCGCTACAATCTAATCTCTTAGAAACGCCGTCAAACGTTTGTTCACTAGATAACTGAGATCCGAGATATAATTAACTTGTACTGGCTTTTTGTCTTGCTTGTCTCAGCTTGACAAGTGCTTTAAGTAAAACTTTGTAGTATAATGTAGGTATTTATTTGTATGGAAATGAAAACTGATGATTATTTTTCATATAAAGAACTCCCCCAGTAGAACATTCTCATGCATCATGGGCTCGTTTAAAACATATACATTCATATACGTATCCCACCCTAGCCTGGAAAACCATTTTTGCATCACTCAAAATCTGTACTGCTGAACTGTCCCATTTCACCGCCGACTTGGGACATTAGCAGATATTTATAAATAGTGTAAAATCAGTATGTGTCACTTGTTTTAACGTGGGAAATATAGATTTTTTTTTCTTTCAAAGAGTTGTTCCGAGCATCTAGTTGCATAGCAGCCAGCTGCCCAGTCACTGCACCAACCATGCATCAAAATGATTATCTCTAGTCTCAACTAAGGGATTCCTTCGTCTTCAGGATAACAAGTATCTTACTTCTATAATCTAAACATTGTAGGGAATCTGAACCACGTCCTGCGTCTACGCGTCTATATGTACGTGGAAAATGTTGGGCATGAAGGCGCATACAGGTACAATGAGGTATGCGTTGAATACCTCATTAGTAAATTATTTGTGTCTTGTGGAGACATGCCATTAAGTTTGAGCTATGTGTGGCAGGAGGTCCTAACGTTTTGCTTTCAGAATATTGTGTACACCTCAACAGATTGTGATTTAAACTGTCTTTGTAGTTTTAGTCCTAAAATATCTATATTTTGGGATATAAACAAGCAGACGAGTCACCTGCTGGTAAGCAATCGGCGTCGCCCATGGACACCTGGAACACCAGAGGCGTTACAAGTGCGCTACCGGCCTTTTGGAGATTTAGGGGGTTGGGGAGATTAGTGTGGGGGGAGGGTGGTAATTGGACCCCAATTGGAGGTATCATACTATTTTTTTTAAATATGCTAGATTCCATGCAGAATATTTATACATGTAACAACAAATACTATTATGTGTTATTCAGCTATTGAGATAGTAATTTGTTACGACACACGAATTTGTCATAGTTTACTATTCTAATACAAAACGAAAATAATAGCTAGATATTAGTCAAAGTATTGCAGAATCTGACCTGAATGTTTTACCTTAGACTTTTTTTTTTTTTTTTTTTTTTAATAAAACGTTGCCCCACACTATATACCTAATATGTTTTTTTGCCTGCAATTTTATGCCTATTATTATAATGCCTATTTCTTTGAATTATCTTACGAGGGCTTTTGTTAAATTAACTTCATTGTTTTAAAATGTGCAAGTAGGTTTTGCTAATATAGCTAGTTGACACAAAGTGGGTAAGCCTATTGTTATGCTTACGGCTTTATATAAAAAAAATCGAATTGAAAACTTACTAATAATTAAAAAGGCTTAGGATTTGAACTTCTTAAACTGTCAAAGACCAAGCGGTCACCGGTGACCGCAACCTATTGTTCTATAATTGTGTCTACAAAACCGGTACTCGACGAGTTAAAACTACTTATTGATTAGCTAGAACCTTATTTAATATTCGTCAATTTGAGCTTCTCCGTTCTTTATTTTATTCACAGCAAGTCCGTAACAAACTTTAAAAAATAAAATGGAACCATAACCTTTTCACGCTGAACCTCTTTGGTGATTCATCCTTTTTGTAACTGGCAATATTTTTTTTAACACCTCATAATGTTGCAAGTATTAACGGTTGACATGATAATCGGTTTGTTTATTACGATTTTTATTGTCCTTTTGAGAACTTTATGTCTTTTTAACAATGGTCAGTTTAATTCCGATTAACGGAAGATATTTTATAACGTGTGTTTTTGGAACTTGTAAAATTTTGATTTTATTGATGGATAATCGTTTAATCGTATGTCTTGAGATTCAGTTCGAAGTTATTGGGTTAATATTTATTTAATTTGTTATTTATCGAAATCGGAAAGTTTTCTGATACTCTTTTAATTGGTTTTGTATTGTGCGGTTATTATATTTGCAAAAAACAATTGAATTGAGAACCTCCTCCTTTTTTATGATGTCGGTTGAAAATGGGGCATATTTTATTTATATCTACTTTTCTCCGAAGCAAGACTTAAATATAACATATCACTTAACATATAACCTTATTAAATATAATGTACATTAACCACCGTTTGTAAGAGTTATCAGTAGTATTTATTAAATAACCTTGCTTCATCACAATTTAATAAATTAATGTAATAAGCAAGCGGTGATTTTATTGCAACAAAGATTATGGGAGCAAACAATGACAAAAAATATTGAAAGAAAGAATAAACATTTATTCAGCACCAGGCACGATGCAGCATAAGTAAAATAAAAAAAGACAATAAAGGTGTGACAGTGGAAGTAATAAAAACAATAAATTAAAAAATTAAAAGAAGAATTGGAAGAGAGACGCTTATAACATATTAGGTATATTGATGTATAACCATTGAACTTTAATAAAAATACATAAATTATCTAGAAAGAATGGGTTAATTAATTTACAGTTAACAGCTGACCTATACCAAATTAAACTAACTACAATTTAAATTTAAACCTCATTTTAACAGTTATCGAAGTGAAGATTTATGGGAACCATTAGTTACGTCAAATATAATTTTTGGAAACCCATTATAAATTGAATACTTATCACTATGTTCATAATTATAAATTAAATCAAAACTGAAGTAAAGATTCGAATTGATTAATGATGTGAAAGAACTCCAGTCGAGTTCAAAAAAGTTCTGCGAGTACGACTGCAAAGCATGGAGTCTGATGTTTCAATTCTCGGGTCGGGCAAAGCGCTGTAGGACTTTTTTCAAATTCTAATAATAATTATGGTAATAACATAGACTTTTTTTAAGGGGGGAAAAATTATTGTTTGACTTCTCCCGCCTGGATGAGGTGGAAGGTGGAAGGGAGTGTCAGACTCTTACTACTCCTGCACTTCGAGCCGGAGCCCCGGTAACCCGTTAGGTTCTCC